ACAGTGTATGGGCTAGACCCTCCAAAGTCCAGATGGGAGATTCCACAGAAAGTTGTGGAGAATAACAGGGCTAAGATCCTCTGGGACTTCCAGATCCATATGGGCAGGCAGGTACTGGCCAATCAACCAGACACTGTAGTAGTAAAAGACCAGAAGACAGCGATGGTGATAGACGTAGTGGTGCCAAATGACAGCAAAATCAGGAAAAAGGAGTATGAGAAGCTGGAGAAGTACCAGGGCCTGAAGGAGGAACTAAAGAGGATGTGGAAAGTAAAGGCCAAAGTGGTCTCCGTGGTGGTAGGAGCGCTCAGGGCTGTGACTCCTAAGCTGGGAGAGGGGCTCCAACAGATCCCAGGAACATCAGAGCTCTCTGTCCAGAAGAGTGCAGTGATAGGAACAGCTCAGATACTGTGCAGAACCCTCAAACTCCCAGGCCTCTGGCAGAGGACCTGCGATTGAGGAAGACACGTACCACCCATAGAGGTGAGAGGGGATTTTTTTTTTTTTAACAGATACTTGCATTGACTAGTGATAGAGAAAACAAGAGAGATTAAGATACTGAGTATTATGCTGATTTGTGTTTCTGTTTTGTAAGCTGCTTAGATTCAAATGATTGAAGGGGATAAAAGCACTTGTAATAAATAAATAAACATGCATGGTACTACTTTCATCTCTTCAACTTATAGTCCTATTACAAATGCACATTTTAATGGCAACTTGGTTTTTTAAAATTATTACTTATTGTATATTTATACTGTTCGCTAATCCATAATTTCATCATTCCACTGTTTGAAGTTTTAACCATGTGCAGCATTTTATTTCTACAGCACATGGAAGGAAGATGACTGCTAAGGTCACGGATGTATATTAGATTATACATTAATTTCCTGAGAATGCTTATTCTTTCATCAATTTCACAATAACCTCATATTACCAAAGAATCCCTATCTAGTCAATTTCATAATTGGTTTTGCAGTGCTGTTTAAAAACAAAACACCAGCTTGATTTTCTCTGCTTATATTTAATCTCATTGATCCTCCCTGCTTTTCCCAGCATCCATCTGAAACTATTACATCATCATGCCCGTCTGGTATGATGAACTATAACAAACTCACCCTTTGCAGTGTTCCCAAAGTATCACAACTCCTCAATACATGAACGTGGCAGGCCCATCCATAAATGATCAGGAGGCTGAAAAAGCATCTCTCACTGATAACACTATCTTCTCAATCCTATCCTCCAAAACGAACTAGAGCCGTTGCACAATCTGATGTCCTAATTTTAAAAAGTGCCCCAGAAGAATATGAAGGCTGAAGATTCAACAGCCACTGAGAGATAAAAGAGAATTGGAAGTCACATTCTCCACTCCATTCCCCTGGTGTACCCACTGACCGATTTAATGGTAGATATGATCTCACGGTGTGGTGGCGCTGCTATAAAAACCATGAAATTCAGTGGCTCAGGTCCATGGCTTTGCTTCATAGCTTTGCATCGATGATTTAAATTTTGACAGCAGTTACAAGTACATTGCTTGTCAACTCATGGGGATTTGTATCTTGGGACCATGTTTTTGCACCATGATTGTGCTTAAGGATTGAATCTGTGATTGCTATAGTTCATCGTGTCAGATGGACACATTAATTTAACCATTTCAGATGAATGCTGTGAAAAGCAGGATCAGTTAAATAGCCCTGAGTCCTGCACTAAATAAGAGACTGGATCTGATGGCCTAAATGACCTTGTCCAAATCTATAAATTTATGATCTGACCACTTGTACTTCCTTCTTTGTGAAATTACTCTTTTCCTACTTGTAGCTCAACATTTCTCAACAAGCGAAACCAGTCATCTTGCCAGTCAAAGTCAGAGTGGTAAAGTGGTTCCAGGCACATCATTTCTGTGTGAGAAAGTTTGTGAGAAATTCATATTCACTTTTGATATACAATTCCTGTTGCAAGTGTGCGTGCACCGAGTATGAATTATTATTTCTTAGGAACTTTCTCACACAGAGACAATGTGCCTGGAACCGCTTTGCAGCTTCGACTTTCTTTCCCACCCTTTTTGGCTAGGCTCCTTGCTTTCTCCTTTAATTTATATTAAATTACGATTTAATTTAAAAACCCTCAAGGAGGCAGGGACTTAGTCACGCCAGCGAATACAGGCTAGTTTCACATAAATAACCAGTCACTTTGCCTATTTCCAATTCCCTTCCTTTTCGGCCCAAAAGACAGAAACTGACGCTGAAATTGAACGTTCATTTTATCCGAAATTGTACCTGGAGCTGTTGCTCAACCGTTGTACACACAAGATCTGCTCTACTCTTGCACCAAGTTTCCAGCTTCCTGATTCAAAGGGTGCTTCGGGTTTATCGTAAGCTCTGGGGAAAAGAGAAATCTTTCTTTCTTTAAAGGGGGGGGGGGTTACCCACGCGCACGTGTGCAGGAGCGGGTTCCCCCCCACCACTTTTTTCTGCCGGTTCGGGAACAAAGTGGCTCTTTACAACCACGCCACTTGCGGCGTTCGTTCGTGCGTGCGTGTTCCTCCTTTTTCCCAAGCCGCAAGAAGTTATGCAAATAGGGAGCCATGAGCGCGCCCGGCCCTTCCTCTCCGCCCCCCCCTGCTCGGGTGGGAACGGCGCAGCAAGGCGAGGCCGGAGGGAAGCGGGGGGAGGGGGCTTGGCCTGGAATGCCTCTCTCGACCGGAGTTCCCCCCACCCCAAGAAAGGTGGGAGCAGGCCCCACCCCTTCGCTGGCTGCGGAGCTCCTCCCCGGCACGTGC